TATGATGTATTTTGTATACATTTGTTTTATTTTATATGAATATATTTAAATAGCAAGTTTGAATTCGTTAAATTTAAGCAAGGAGAATTGATTTCTATTAAAAATTCTAATTCAACTAACAACGAATTTTTAATAATAATAATATCTTAATAATGCATAATATAATAAAAATCTTACATCAGCAATAAAATGTATGCAATACAAATTATTACATTTACACTGGAAATCGAAAATGGATATTGAATTCTTGGAAAGCCTTATCAGAGTCCAAATGACCAGCTTCCAACTCCACCATCCAAAAAGCTCAATATATAATATAGCTGAAGTAGCTAACTAAAATGTAGTCACTGAGTCATGATTCAGTATTAGTTATCTATTTCCCGAAACTGAAGGGTTCATGGTTGCAATCCAAGACCAAGTAATTGCAACCAAGAATTATCGGAAATATATATTCAAAGATCCGGATGTGCCCTCTGACGATTGTCATTCTATCCTTTTCAGTTCTCGTGTCCAGTCAGCTGGACGTATTTTGGAAGCCCGTATTTAGGGTCCTGACACTCGCGACGAGTGTAGTAACGCCTTTGCAATATTCTGGCACAGGTGTTACTACAAGCAATTCATTTTTATTTTATTATTTTCTAAGAAAATGCGATCGTAACGGTTTACTCTAGGTACTCTTCAATTGATAACGATATCATTGAAACGAGGTGACAAGAGGAGGAATTATTTCTTCGTTTTTTTTAATGTATTGTAATTTTACGAATATTTTCATATTATATAATGAATCAGCTTTATCCAGAATATTAAAAGTTTGTATTAAATGTACGATTTTAATGGAATGTAAGAAAAATTATATAAATTATTTCATGGCCTGCCGACTTGGCATATGAATCCAAATTATCAAATTTCACTCGGAAAAAAGCAAAAGATATTTTAGAAAAAAAATTGAATTACTTAGTAGTTGGAAGTATAGCTAATACGCTTAAGAATGAACCAAAATGACAGTTTGCTTATCAAGTGAACATCATCAAATGAATGAAATGAAATTCAGAGACATATTCCTTCGCCGCGACAGTTGTTCATCCACGCCTCTTCATTAAGTGTTTTTGTTTTACGTGGTTCCCGTTGAGACATCTTGGCTTCCCATTGTTCACAACCGTGTAATTATATAAAAAATAATTTATATAACGCAGACCACAAAACCGCAGTCACAGTTCTCGTCACAGCTCGCCACTTCACTGCACAGGAATAGGAACCTGGTGTGACAGTACTCGTCCGACATTCAAGACTCGGTTTTCAAATAAACATAATACTTTTTTTTTTTTTTTAATTTGTTCCGTCTATATCGAAACGCGTCTCTAAACTCCGTAAGGAGCGTTGGAGTAATCCTCCGTTAATAAGCGCCCTCTAGGGGCCGCTGTATTGTAAAGTCATGTCAAAGTCACGTCAAGGAATCGCCGACAGGTAGCGTCTTCGCGCTCGCGTCTCGCACGCGTCCTGCGTCATCTACCCATCGGCCAAAATTGGGAAGAAATAAGGATAGGGGTAAGGTTTAGGTCGCTTCACAGGGGTTTTACACGCCCTTGTAAAGCACGCAAACGCGTTTAGTCGTAACAAATTTCACCCGAAGTTCTACGGGGTCTCTAAGAGAATCGAACCCGGTATCTCAGTGGTGAAAGGCAAGTGACTTCACCACCACTTATCACACAAGAAGTAAATTAAGTGTAATGTTCATAAAATAAAGAATATTTACAGAAGAGCACAGTAGCACTGCACTTCCTAATTTCAATTATTTCTCGTGGCGAATTACATTTTCGTAGGACGAGGACACCACAAGAGGAAGCGTCGAAGCTATTTACAAATTAGCCAACTGCAAACGAACGATTGAAAGAAGGATAGTCAAATGGGCTGAAGTACATCACGGCCACAGAACCTTCAGTTATGGTGCCAGCACTAGCTGCCAAAATAGTACTTTTTTATAAAAATCGCTCTATAATATTGAAGCAGTACCGGGGCTTGACAATTTTCACGTGTTTCACTTCCAGATTACGTTTTGAAAACTAATAAAATGTCCGTGAATAAAAGATATCCCAGCCAGTATCTTTCTTTCGCTTGTGGACATGATGATCATGTGAACCTCATTTGTTGGCCATGAAATTATTTAATTGATACTTAATAGAGTGTTAACTAGTTGTGCTAAAACACAACTTACTTTCTCGCTCTTAGTAATGGTTATACAATACAATTTATACTTGATTATATTTGAATAAACTGTGTCTGTTGTCATTCATATTTAAGAAATAGCCCTATTTTATTAAAGACATTTTATTTACATGGATTACATAAAAATCATTTTCATTTGTTAAAAATAATTTTAACATGCCATTTATCAAGTGGGGCTATTTCTTAAAGAATACTATTTATATTACAATTTCTCTCCGAATTAACACATGTCGTTATTTTTTGTAAAACTCATTTTAAATTGTAAATTTGGTGCCAAAACTAAATATTTTTAAGCAAATGTCATCACAAATTTGAGAATTATAATTGTTATTCATTCAGCTAAATCTTATCAAAATAATGAGACTAATTCACATAAATTCGCGAGTTGCCACTTGGAATGCCATTGTTGCATCCCAATCTGATATTCCGTGAAGGCTAGAAATTTGTATTTCATATATTTCAAATCGCTTTTAAATAATTTCTGAAAGATTTGTAAACGTATAACAATTTTCGATTGTAAGAAACGAACAAAGAAATATGAAATAATATACAAATTCTAATTTGCATAGCATCAAACTGCCTTGAATGATCTTACGTTCGCAAAGAGCACAAAATTCGGAGCGGACGACTATTTTTGACGCCATATTACTCAAATCATTTTTTTTTTTTCTTCAAAACTTCAACATGACATTATTTGAAGATCACTTTGGATGAACACATTTCATTAAGAGAAAAAAATGTATCTTCGCAATGGTAGTTGTGATAAGATGAAAAAAATGTTTACTTTTTTTTTATTTTTCGAAAACTCAGGCATTTTGACGAACATGAGACATGCATCTCTTAAGCGTCCTTTGCCCAATCTAAAATCCAAATGTAATAAAGAAATGTGTGCCCTTTTTTAGAAAAACTGCTTTTAAAGCAATATAAATTTCCTATTTGACGAACAATTTTGTACCAAATACACAAGTTTTTGAAAAAATTAACATGGCATTATTTAAAGATATTTTTCATGAATACATTTCATTAAGGAAAAAGTTATCTTTATTATTCTAGTTGTAGGATGTCGCCGAAAAAAAGTTTGTTTTTCTTCAATTTTCGAAAAATCAGAATTTTGAATGTAAATGTGAACTACAACATTATCTTAAACGAACTTCACACTATCCAATAACAAAGCCATTTATTTGAAAATTTTGAAAATGTCTCAGGTATTTCATGTAATGTACCCCCGAAAATTAAAATATCGGTTTCAAATTCAAGGGCCCACGCCATCAGTCACATCGATTGGAGAATATCAATTGTGAAGAAAATCGGCTGAACGGTTTAGCCGCTAGCGTTGCTCAGATCTACAGACGTTCTGCCGTCAATCTATTTTTCATTCTCTAAATTACCCACAAAACATGGATTCTGGCTACACCACATGTTAGAGGACTTTTTGCTAAACGTAGCATTTGAATTTATCCACTTTTCATTGCGAGGACGTGTTCTACCGAAAATTCGCCGTTTTTCGCCCCTCAACTGTGTAAGCGTAAGTAAAGTACTACAAAGATGGTATCGTGAATGTGAGCGTTAACTGGATCGATCGGAAAGAAGGTAAACTGATGTAGACCGAAATAACAATATGCAGATGTATTTTTGGAATGAAATGCCTTATTTTACGTGGTTAGGCTCAGGCCATGAGGTCTATTCTTCCCTCTGTCCAACACAAATTTCACTATGCTTCTTTCACCAACTAACGGGAAAAAGAGGTATTTCTTGGGTGACGAAACAGGCGATTTGAATTTAGCTCAGAGGCTTCATTTAGGCTCGAGTATAGTTTACATACAGTAAATATACTACATAGGTCAATTGGTTTTACTTTTCCGAAAAAGTGTGTACGAAGGATTTTTCGCTCCTAAATATCTCCAGCTTCGATTGAGATTGAACCCTCGAACTCCGTTATAACAGTCCGGTACCGTTACTCCATCGCTGCCGCCTTTAATTCTATAAGATATTCGGAGTAAAGATGAAAATATTTGATAAACTCTCGAGTTTGCGAGGCGACAAGTGAGTTTATCAGAAACGTGCAATTCACTATTTAATATTGCTAGTTCGCGAATAAATATCTTAATAAACTCAATTTGCTCTATTACATTAACAAATGAACACAATTACCTTTAGTGCAGCCATTCAAAATGTTTGACCTAACTTCATGTGATGTGTGTTATGAAAGAGGATGATTTCTTTCATAGTGGAACCACCAACAAAGTTTTCAAACGCTTTCCCAGTTTTTCTTGTTTATTTTTGGAGCGTTGAATTGCTTATTTTCTCATCTATTTTAGCACAACGTTGCAATGGCTTTTCATACTAATAGTGTTTATTTTCTCAGAATGCAATGTACACGTTCACAGGGTAAATATATTCAACTAATGAAAGAAAAACAGGTGCACGATGCATGAATTGCAGGAACAAGAATAATTTGATTTTTTTTCTTTTCTTTCTTTTCTGATAGAAGTTTGATTCGTTTTCTTACACCATTGGGAATTCACTACAAATGTGAAAAAAGTATTTCTTCAAAACTTAACATAATAAACCACACGGTTTGACTATTTTTCTTTGAAGGCTATGTTAAAACAGCATTTGAGCTTAATGTTTTTGTTGTAAAGTGTCAGCCTGCTTTTGACATGTTTCCACTTGCTTACAGTGAGTCTTTCATACAGCTAAATCGTAAATTAAGTTAGCTGCGTCAGTAGTACTCATAAAGGCGTTTCTCCGCTGACGGCATGTTCCGTGTGTTTCAGGGAGCAGCCAATATTCTCGTGCAAAGCGCACGTGTTCCACATCGACCCGAAAACGAAGCGCTCGTGGATCTCCGCGTCCACAGCGGCCGTTTCGGTGTCGTTCTTCTATGACTCGACCCGCAGCCTCTATCGCATCATCAGCGTGGAGGGGACGAAGGTAAGAGGTTAAGAACTTCAGCACGAATGTGCTGATAGAGAAGAAAAAAATACTCGACGAGAAAACAATTTTCACGAAACGAAACAAGCTGCACAAATCATATCCTACCAGTGAATTGTCGAGCAATTCTCAATGCACTCGTATGAATATTTAGTGAATTCATTCGTTAATAAAAATAATCTTTAAGTAAGCACAACACACAATTTGAATACGATGCAATTAGTTTCCAATGTTGTGCTTTTTTACATAAGTAGGTGATTTGAAACCGAGCGACGTAGGAGCTAGTTTTCAAACGTATACGAATGCAATAAAGCTTTATTATGAACGTGTTGCATATTCCAAAATTTGTAAAAAATATTAAATTTATAAAAGAATCAAAATTAATTTTAGAAACAAATTCCAAAAGCAGTTTTGCAGTTAGTAAGATTGTTCGTATAATGACATCACGGAGGGAGGACGAGCAGGGAGGTTAGAGCTGTGCCATGAAATGCTCTTTTATTGACGATTACATGCAATTGTAATGATGGTTTATAAAGTACACAAAAAACCGATTTCTACTTTCATCATATCACACTGAAGCGTACATTATTCTGGTTCTGGATCATACTGGTAGATGCTCGGCGCTTCCAGTGCTCCCACATTCTCGAAAAATAAAAGACAATAGCAGAATTTCTTGGGCAGGACATGTGCAGAGATTGGGAAAGAAAAGAACGTCTAAAAACATACACAATATTAAAGTGTAAGAAAATGTGGTAGGCACAAGAAAAGTTGGGTTCAGGATGGTGTGAATGGCCTGAAGATAAAAGTTATTGGGTGGCCGGAAAAGGCTGAGAAAAGAGAGGAAAGAATGATCATGAAGGCAACGCTGGTGTAAAATGAGTTGTAGTGCTTTGAAAGGAGACAAAACCAATTTCAAATCAGAAACAGCAATTAAGATCAGTTTTGAAATTACGTTTATAAATATCCTATATATGAAGAAAAACTGAAAAAGGTTGACATTCTCAATTAGAATCGGCTTACATTATGCAGTAGAATGTAAAATAAACAACTACTCTGAGGGGTATTATTCATTTTTTTAAATTTCATTATTAGTTGTATTCTTCATTGATTTTTTTTTTTTTTTTTACACATTATACTTCTACGAAGTTCTTCAGGATTATAGACAGTTCGCTCTGTGTCCACTTGTCCACCACTCTGACCACTTCTCTCGATCCACGTGTTGAGGATGCAAATATAGCTTAAGTGTTTTGGGAGAACTCCTGAAGTAGTTGGATGAAAGGAAACAGGAATACGTTCTTCTAACTCTTCGAAACAAGGGGAATTCTGTAAAACGAAAAGTATCAAGGCTGGTAGCACCCGTAGGCGTTAAGTTCATTTAATATTGAAGAACGTGTTTAGTGTTACCTTTGTCTGGGCGAATGGAAAACGTTTGCCTGATTCAATTCGTTTTGTGGTGCTTGCCTTATTCAATTTGTTATGCGTAGCTCCGCTGTTTCTCTCGCGCTACAAGGCACTGTGCACGGTGATTGCAATCAAAATTGGCTTCTAATTACTACCAACCTTAGATTTTAGATTTATTTAGTCAAAAAACAGTAAAAACTGTATTGACGTAGGGGGGAGAAGATTATCTGCACACGTTTTCTTGAGTTCCAGAATCTCTTCCCGTCATTTTAACTATAAATAGTTGAAAGATTAGTAAAAGTTTAACATAAATAAATAAAAATAAATTTTAATAAAGCGTGAGATTAGCAATATTTGAAAAATAATCATTTTCGTTTCCGAGTCATAGAAAACTTATTTGCATCGGCTCACGAATTGCAAGTATGATTTTTCTGCTTTGCTAACAAAATAGCAATTCGCTCTTACCTCTACTCTTACCATTACAAGCAAAAGGAGAGTTCAACAAAACGGGTGCATAGTAAAGCTACATTTACGTCCAGAAGCAAAACAAGGGGCCATCTCAGCATTTGCTCAATGGATTAGGGAAACTGGACAAAAACCTGATCGAGATGGGGGTCATTGACCCGGAAGCTAATGTACATTATTTGTTACAAACATATTAAGTCTTTTAAAACAATTTATACAATAAAAATGTAAACTAATTTATTATATATCACTTTTGTTAAAATAAACATTATTTTTCTTTTTGATAATCAGTATAGTCTCTAATTGAAGAAACAGTTATGCAGCAGAAAAGATTTTACTTTTAACTTCAAAATTGCGAACAGACTTAAATTCTTTAATGTCATCTGGCAGTGCGTTGTAAAGTTGTTGATACTGATACTTGATGAACGTGATGTTTACGACGTGTGTTGTAATTATAAATATCACTATTGCATTAAAATATGTTCCCACCGTTAAGTAAGTCACTTTTGACAAATATTACAGAAATTCCCCAGAATTTTATTGCATATCTCAAACGGAAATGTACATTTGCAAACTACACGCAGCGAGCTGCATGAAGGCTGACAGAATTTCATAGAATTCTGAATGCGTTACATAATGAACTTCATTTAGTGTGTACTTTTGTTATATGTGCAATACATTTGAGGTTGGACTGAATTGAGAGACCTAGAAATTTTGTTCTAGCTTCTAGATTGAGCTTCTAGATTTCATAGGGCTTGTGACCAAAGCTCTGATCGCCGGTTATCTTTCCTAGCGTCTCTTTAAGATTAACTTCTCAACGTTAGCAGTTATGATGCTGACTTTTGACAAGTCCGATGATTCTATAACTCTGGCTAAAATTGTAGACAATAAAAAACGAATTAAAATGTCTGGCCTGTTACGACTTAACTTTCTTTCCCTCTCCGGGCACATTTCACCATTTATACCGAAATCAGTGCATTGTTTTGTATCCTCTCAAAAAGTATAGAGAAAAAATGGCCGACCCCAGTATTGAAGCGTCGCTCGTACAAACTACGCAACTAAATGACCGCACAGCTGTCAAGATTATATCAAAAGCTGTTTGAATTAATGTAAAGAATGAATGAAATAATGAAAACTTTAGCGGCCTGCATTAACGTTTCTGATGGAGGAAGTTCCCCGCTGTCTCATCGTCAGGCAATACAACTTCATACATTCTTACCTCCGTCCACGGATGCAGCCACGACTGCTCTTTCACAGGGCTTTTCAACCGATCCAGTCTCGTACCGCTGTGTTTCGAAGTAAATGTACTTCCGCCCCGAATCTGCTGGGAAATAACTTTCATTCACGCCAATATCCATGCCGCACGTTCGAGAAGAGGTAGAGCAGAAGTTGCAGCAGCGGTAGCGGCGAAGAACGCGAGCGAGGCGGAGACTGCCCAGGCAGCCGGTAATAAACTACCGCTGGGGTGGGAAGGGGTGGGAGAAGCGCCGGGCGCGGGGCGGCAGCCGTTGCCGATGAGCACCGCCCTGAGTTATATGTCCCATGTGGGGCCGCGCGCTCACCGGCCTTCGCCCCCGTGGCCACACCCTCATACTCCTGCGCGTTCTCCCCTCTTTCTCGCCTTCTCTTTCGCTCACACTCACCCACGCGCGCGCACTCTCTCTTCCGCGCGCGCGCACTCTCTCTCTTCCGCGCGCGCGCACTCTCTCTCTTCCGCGCGCGCGCACTCTCTCTTCCGCGCGCGCGCACTCTCTCTCTTCCGCGCGCGCGAACTCTCTCTTCCGCGCGCGCGCACTCTCTCTCTTCCGCGCGCGCGCACTCTCTCTCCCGCGCGCGCGTGCACTCTCTCTCCCGCGCGCGCGTGCACTCTCTCTCCCGCGCGCGCGTGCACTTTCTCCCGCACTCGCTCTCTCTCCCGCGCGCGCGCACTCGCTCTCTCTCTCTCCCACGCGCGCGCGCACTCGCTCTCTCTCTCTCCCACCGCGCGCGCGCGCACATCTCCCTCTCTTCCGCGCGCGCGAACTTTCTAGGCGCCACTCGTCTCTCTCTCTCCCGCGCGCGCGACCTCTACATCCGCGCCGGTCCTCTCTCTCCCGCGCGTCCTCTCCTCCCCGCAGCGCGCACTTCATCCGCTCTCTCTCTTCTCCACGCGCGCGCCCACGCTCTCTCTCTCTCCCACAAAGCATGCGCCCGCCACTCGGCTCTCTCTCTCTCCCACGCGCGCGCGCACTCGCTCTCTCTCCTCCCACGCCGCGCGCGCCACTCCGCCTCTCTCTCTCTCCCACCAGCGCGCCGCAACCGACTCGCTCTCTCTCTCCTCACGCGCGCGCGCGCACTCGCTCTCTTCTCCCACGCGCGGCGCGCCACGCTCTCTCTCCTCCCACGCCGCGCGCGCACTCTCTCTCTCTCCTCTCTCTCTCTCCTCTCTTCCTCCTCTTTCTCTCTCGCGCGCCCGCGCGCCAAGCGGCACTCACTTCATTTCGCGTTTTTCCCTTTGCTCTTTCCTAATTAATAACTTTCGGGTCCTCTCTCCTCGTACATTTCGTTTTTCGAATCCTGCACATTTGTTTACGCCCTGGCGGAGTCCTTGATTTCTCGCTCTCACTTTATCGCGTTCTTTTTTACTTTTTCTCCCTCCTTTCCTCCCTTTCTCTTCTTTCTTTTCTTTTATTCTCTCTCTCCCTCCCTCTCTTTCTCATATGCCTCTCACCCTTGCTTTCGCTTGTTTGCTTTGTTTCTCTTACTGTCATTAAAGCGAAGCAAAATACAAAACAGGTGTTTTTTGTAGTAATCTTTATTAAAATATCTTGTAGACTTCTTTGATATTATGAACCTTACCTACATACATTGGTCTATTCATAATAATTTTATAATCTGAAACGCATTGTAGGTGCGCAGTAGAAAACTACAGATGAGGGAATGCTTATTACTTTTTGCACTTGAATGACGTTTTTATTTATAGATTATCATTAGACTTATAGCTTAGGCTTATGAGATAGGTTCATCTTACGCTCTTTCAGGAAGGGGAAAGTAGCTTTCTGGTATTTTCTTGGCTTTGGTAACTCTTTATTTTCTTCGTCCAAGCCATTATAGGTTTGTCGATGTACGGTCAAATTGTGAATGGTGACGAGTGA